ATATATATATGTATACTCAAAAAACAGTGGCATCTGTCCTGAACATGTACCAACTTTTTTCTTCTCACTTATTCCCTAAACAATAAAGTATAACAACATCTACGTAGCACTTACACTGTATGAAGTATCATTAGTAATCTAGAGACGCTTTGAAGTATATGGGAGGACGTGTGCAGGTTCTGTGCCAATACTATGCCACTTTGTTGAAGAGACCTGGGCATCCCTGGATTTTGAAACCAGTCCCCTGTGGACACCAAGGGAAGACCTCGGATTCTGAATATGTAGGTTTTCTTAAAAGTAAAATATATCATTAATTATATCAATAACTTGTTAAAAGATGTTTTTATATAGCAGATTAAAATATTCTATGACAATTTCACTTGTTCTGTTTTTTGTTTGTTTGCTTTTTTGAGACTGGAACTCGCTGTGTAGCCCAGGTTGGCCTTGAACTCACTCACAGTGATCCTCCTGCCTCAGCCTCCTGAGTGCTGGGATTATAGGTGTGCATCTCCACAGGTGGCTTGCACTGTATTCGCACTGGTCCTGCTGCCCTAGAATCTCTGCTGCTTTCAAATGCAGAGCCCCCAGTGTTATCCTGTGTTGTAGCCAAGGTGAGGGACCTGCTTCAATCCCCCAGCTGGCTGTCACCAGACTGGGGACTGGGACCCCATCTCCTCCTCCTGCACTCACTACTGTTCCACTGATCTCTGACTCTCAGTGTCCCTGAGCTCGGCCTGTGGGCTGCTCCTCTACACCTGACCCTGGCTCGTGGGCGGTAAGGAAGGTAGGCTGGAGCTGCTCCAGTTCCAGCTCCTCAGCAGCATCATGCACCCAGTGCCTAACAGGTAACTTGAAAAAATGACCACGGCAGGAGCATTTATACCATGGAAATGTGCAAACTCTACAACTCAGAGCTTGTGTTTACTTTTGGCCCCCAAAAAGCTCATTTACCCGCATACTACTAGATGGATAGGAGGGACACCTCGCCGGAGACCAAGGAGGCAGCTGTATTTGGAGAAACGGGTGGCTTCAACCCATGGGAGTTCAGAGGCACAAAGGATGTCAGATGCCAGGTTGTCCATCTCCATATGTCACTTACAGAAGAACTGAGGCCCAGATGCCTGAGGTCAGAGGGCCAGGCACAGTGCTGTGGCCAGTCCCTGAGCCTCCTCCTCCCACCCCCCGCTTCTGCGCTCCTCTGCAGTTGTGAGTGAAGCCCTAGAGTGGGGCCAAGTCCCATCCAGCCCCCAAGCCCAAAGCCTGCTGCTAAGATGGAGCGATGGGACTAATTCTTACTTCTCGGCAAGCCCCCCGACACAAGTCCAGCAGTGTGAGAGCCTCTCTCTTGTTTCCATGGTGAAGCTTCCTGCACACATTCCCACGTTCCCCGGGGGGCCTCACCTTGGCCAGATGAACAGCCAGTTTGTCCCTGGCATCCTTGGTCTCTTTGAGCCCATTCTCGAAAGCTGTGTTCACCACGTCACACTGCTTTCTCAGGTCGCTGGCCGTCTGCAACAGGATTTGGTCCACTAAGGCCTTCAGGGTCAGGGAGTTGTTGCGCTGCTTGTCAGCCTTTTCCACATTCATGTTGGAGAAGTCCAGCCAGTCTTCCAGACTCACGGAGCTGGAACAAAACTTGCACATTTGTTCATTCACAGCTTACCTGGGCTAGGAAAGGGGACAGCAAAGGGGACAAGCTCCCGGAAACGTACCAGAAGCTAAGCCTCCTTCCATCGTAACAGAAGCCTAGAATGTTTTCCCACATCTCTCAGCAGAGCAGAGTGGTCCGTCAACGGCAACATTGTTAGGAACCTCCTGATTCTGTGCCAGGCATTGGGCCGGCACCTGACTTCATTCAGTCCTCATGGTGGCCTAGTGCACTAACTCTTCTAATCTCACTTGTAGGAGAGGAAAACTGAGGCTCAGAAAAACGAAGTCACCTGTCTGGATCACATAGCTAGGGGCAATTTCAGCATCAAAATAAACAATAATAGTAACACACTGAATAAAATAGGAAACCATGAGCCCAGAAAGATATAAATACAAGAACAAATTGCTAGTTCAATGAGAAACTGTTAATAACATTGATGAATCTCAAAATCCATGTTAATTAGAAGGAATTGGACACACACAACATATACTGTATGCTGGGTTTTTTTTTTATATAAAGTAGGCAAAACAAACCTATTAGGAATCAGGAGTAGCTGCCTTTGGAGTGGAGAAAATTATTGATCAGAAGGGGACAGTGACGGGCTCTGTGGCTGGTGGTAGCTATTTATTTATTTATTTATTTATTTATTTATCCCTGCTTGGGCAAGAAAATAGGAAGACTGTCCATTTTGTGGCTGGGGCAGTCTCCAGTCCCCAGCAATAATGGCCTCCTGATATTCACACCTTCATGTAGGCTCCTTGGCTTGAGTATGAAATAAACTTGTTATTTTTCTCACAGTAGAAAGATGAGATGTCAGTCCTGAGATTAGGACATAAAAGATGGACGTCTCTGTCTTGGGTCTCCCTCCCCTCCCCTTCTCTTTCTTTCCCCCACCTCTGTTTTCTCCTTCACTTAGATCCCTTGGGATGGAAGACGCCAGCTGCCATTTCGTGAAACTGTTCCATGGAGAAGCTCATGTGGCGAGGGAGTGAGCTCTTCCATCACCACCTGGGTGCTCTTGGAAGCAGATCCCACCCCAGCCAAGCCTTCAGATAGACGGCAGCCCCAGCAGTCAGCTTGACTTCCGCTCAGGAGACAGTGAAACACAGGCACTCAACTAAACCCACCAAAACTGCACCCACCTAAACCCACCAAGACTGCACCTACCTAAACTCACCAAAACCGCACCCAGCTAAACCCACCCAAACCACACCCAGCTAAACCCACCCAAACCACACCCAGCTAAACCCACCAAAACCACACCCACCTAACCCACCAAAACCACACCCACCTAACCCACCAAAACCACACCCACCTACACCCACTAAAACTGCACCCAATTAAACCCACCAAAACCGCACCCAGCCAAACCCCCCAAAACCACACCCACCTAAGCCACCAAACCCACACCCACCTAACCCACCAAAACTACATCCAGCCAAACCCAGCAAAACTATCAGATTAATAAATATTTGCTGCTTTAAACTGTCAACATTCAGAGTAATTTGTTATACAATGCAGTTAATGCAATAATGATTCAATGAACTGTGTGTTTATAATCTGTGTGCTTTTCTGTATGTCTATTTCAAAAAGAAAGTGTTTAAAAATTAGCATGAGTTAAATTCATGGTGATATGAATTGAAAATTGCAGGTTAGATGCTACAGAAAAGATACATCGTATAATTCCATTTTTGCAAACTAAACAAAATCAGCTTGTGTGTGGAGCATGGATACGTATTTGTGAACCTATGGGTAATTCTGGTTATTTCTAGGGCTGGACAATGGAAAGGGGCAGATGGGGAAAATTCTTAAGCCATCCTTTACGTATTTTTAAAATCTGTTATTGTGAAAACATCAATAGATAAAGGAATACATTTTAAATCTTTCAAGGTTTCCTGTCTGAATAAAATAGGAAACCATTTCACTGTCTTCAAGGGAGAGGAGCTGCCAGGCACCGCGTCACAGCCAGCACGGGTCAGCGCCTGCACTGTCAGGTCCTGCCTCTCCGCGGGGCTCAGGGCATTCCCCGCTGGGGCCCGGCCAGCATGAGCGCCCCACTCACTTGGGTTCAATCCTCACGACCTTCTCAGAACACATGATGTTTGGGGAGTTGTTGTTGAGCGAGAAGCAGATGTCATCGATGGTGAGGGCCGTGAACTTGTCCTTCAGGTCCTTTTCCAGATTGTACTTGGCCGAGCGGTTCAGCCTGGAGGGAGAGGGTAAACTGGGATTCTCCCTCCGGAAAATCCAGGTGGCACCTACAGGTCCTAGACAGGCCCTGAAAAACGAAGGTGAGACTAGGTGGGCCACTGGATGGGGCCACTAAGTGTGGCCACTGGGTGGTCACATTCTGCCCTAGCTCCCCACCCCCCAATGCACTTACTTGATCCTTGGTGACAAAGTGACATAACCAAACCTGGAATTCGAGATCATCCCCTCCAGGGTGACATTTTCTGACGTCACCATGGTGACAAACTATGAGGGGTCAGCCCTGGCAGCGAGGGGCTCCAGCATCCTCCAGTTTATCATCACAGGTAAAATCCAGCCCCTCCGCCACCCACCACCCTAGGCGACCCCCACATGGAGGAAGGGGACAGCCAGTTCTCACCCTGAGTGCGGGGCAACCTGGGGACACAGAGACAGTCTGTGGGAGTGGCCAGCCCCATCCACTGCGCCATGGAGCCCCGCCTCGGTGAACGCAGTGGCGAGGCCAGGACAACCGCACCTGATTTGCTCTGACGTCTCCTCCAGTGTTCGGGTCAGCAGAGCCATGACGCCCCGGATGACCTCAGCCTCCTTCAGCAGCTCCTGCTCCACCACATCGTGCACCAGATCGATCCCCACGCGCTTCTCCCTGGCGGGGGTTGGGGGAGGCCCAGGATGTGCAAAGATCCCTGCACCACAGAGGATCGTCTCCTCCCTCTGCTGACGCAGTGGGGAATGGGCACTAGCTAGTGACGGTGCTGCTTCAAAACAAATCCGAAACAATTGATGGGGACTGGCCTCTGGGTCTGCAAAATGACACACGGACTCCACCTACCCCTCCCTTCATTTGGCCATCAGCTCTGAAGTCTGTCCCTTCTTGCCTGTTTATTTGAAACCCTGTCTGATGACAGAATTTCAAAGACATGTGCTACCATCTTTGACTCCGAAAATCAAAGAAATCAAAGAATTGAATCCAAAGCAATGTTTTATTCTAATAGTAATAATAACTACTAATGAAACTATCAATATTACTATTACCTCTACCACTGAGCACCTTGTGTGAGACAAGCACTGCACTGAGATAAACCCAGGGGCTTTACACCGAGCCTCGTGCCCAGCCCTTTACGTTTTTTGAGACAGGGCCTCAATAATTGTTAAATTCCCCAGGCTGGGCTTCAACTTGCTATCCACCTGCCTCCGCCTATTCCCACTTAAACTTTTAAGAACAGATAAGGAAACTGAGTCTCAGAGAGGCAAAATAACTCACCTAATACCACAACCTGGCATTATGCATGCTTTTAACCACTATGCCACACTATTCCCCAAACCGACCCCACTACCTGATACTTCGTTTTTTCTGCCCTATGTGATAGTAGAAGGGAGAAGAGCTCCCACTAATTGCTTGCTGTGCAGCCTGAAGTGTGTTATATAACCGATCTGTGCCTTGGTTTTCTCTTCTGTAAAATGGGGATCACTCAGAGTGTTTCACAGAATTATGGCAAAGAACAAATGCGATAGAAAGCACACCATACAGAGCCTGATACATGGTATGTGCTAGACAACCTCTGTGATACAACCTCATAATTATCCTTAGGCTTAAAATTTGGGTATACTGGGCTCCTTGGTTTGTTTCATGTGCTTGTGGCTGGGAGATTGCTGCCTGGTTCCTGCAGATGGGCCCAAGTAAGATGGTGGAGGAAAGAGGGCTCCGGGAGGACAGAGGCATGGTGCGCTGGGAAGCACCTCTTACTACCGGGGCTGAGAACTGGGCCTGGAGAGGTCACTAGGAGCCCAGCTGTGATGAGCTTGGTGTTTGCTCAACTAAGGAGGCTGAACTTTATCTTGCAGCTTCTGAGGCACAGGGTGGTAACGGAGGGATTTCTAAGCCTGGGGTGAGATGTACAAATTGGCATTTGGAAAAATTCACCTCATAGCCAGTGTGGAGGATGCACTAGACTATAGGGGGCTGTGGTGCCCGCGAGAAGACCTGTTAAGCCATTCCAGCCAGGGCTGTGACACAGGTCAGGTCTGGAGCTTGGCATCACCCTGGCTATAGAGAGAAAGGCTACTCACAGACTTATAGGAAAATAATAAAAAGTTATGACCATATAGTGCTCTCTGTGTGGGTATGTATAGTGGAGCAGACTTATTGCTATGCAGTGTCAGTAGTATCTGTTCTCATCATTTTTTGTTTTCTTTCGGTTTGGTTTTGGTTTTTTGAGACAGGGTCTCACTATGTAGTTCAGGCTGGCCTTGAATTCACTATGTAGCCCAGGTTGGTCTCAGACTCTCAGCGATCCTCCTGCCTCAGCCTCTCAAGTGCAGAGACTCAGGCATGTGCCACCACACCCAGCTGTTCTCAGCAATTTTCTTGGCCACAGAAGCCCTGGGTTGTTAGCTGAGCACATGGCTGTCCAAAACAAAGACAACCATTTCCCAGCTTGAGTTGCTGTGACCATATGATTAAGGTCTGGTCAACAGGATGCAAATAGACATGGTAAAAGGCAAGCCTTGCTTATTGCTACTTGCATGAGAATGTGGACGTAATGGCCGGACCTCCAGCTGCCATTTTAAATCACAAGGTAACCTAGGAAGTGAAAACCATAGCAATGGAGTGACAAGATAGAAGAGGCCTGGACCCCAAAACTGTGGCACATCACACTAACCTGAACAAACTATCTCTGGACTCTGAAGATAAGAGAAAAACTCTGCTGTTTAAGCTTAATATCATTTTGCAGTTGTCTGATACCTGAAGCCAAATTTAGTCCTAACTATTTAAGTTAGTAGCGAGAGAAAAGCAACACTCTTTCCGCTGCCCAGCAGCACAGCACGCTGGGGTACTTTCGGGGTCTGAAAGAGAACCTGCCTATCTGCCTCCTATCCCACCATCTCGCACCGTCAGTTTTTGCTACCCAGCATTGCCTTTTTCCCAGCAGATGACTCAGGGAGGGATCCCCCGCCTCCTACCTGTATGCCAGGCACCTCTCAGTGATGTGCAAGGGCTCTTTAAAGCTCTCCAGGGCTTTTTCCAGTCGGCTCTTATATGAGAGTAGGTCCTCGGTTTCATGCACAATTTGTTCAAGCTTGTCGTCTAACTCCTTCTTCCAGAACCTAACTTCCTCAAGTCTCTGTTCTGAAGCACACAGAGAAGTTATACTGGGGTTAATGCCCAATGAAGCCAAGTTTTTAAAAGAGGGA